ATTTATTTGTTATCTATAAATGCATTGAGACAAAAGTGAGACAGATTAAAGCATCCACAGACTACCAAGCACAGCGGAATCATAGGTGAGACATAACGAATGGAGCATGCTCTTGAGATAAATTAGAACATCCATAGACTCCTAAGGCTAAGGTGAGCAGAAGCCAAGCCTAAGCATAAGTGAGACAAGCATAAGTGAGACAAACGTACTTCAATGGATGTCAATTGAAGTTAGTTGCCATTTCAACGATACGGCCTAAGGTTTGTCAATAGTTACTCATCTGATTCGAACTTGGTCAGTGTTTTCAACAGTTGATTGGTGAACCAACTAAGCTAGGCCCATTGGTTCTTCCATCTCAACCTGTCATCGTCTATGTTGGCCATTTTGCAACCCCCCCCCTCCACCCCCTTGTTAGAAAGAAGACTCGTTTTGGACGTGAATTGAACCTGTGGTCTGACCTTCAGGTTAGTGCTTGATTGAGTTCCATCAGCATCGCATTTCAATTACCACCATACTCGTGAATGGCGACCACGCTTCCTCCTCCACTATGAAGTCACTGTCGATGGTCTGAGTACAAATTCTCCTCCATATATCAGTCATCCTAAGAACATTATGAATTCGCATCGCATAAATTGATATGCAGTTCTGACTGAGACAAACATCGCATGGCAGGAGAGCCCGGCCACGATCACGCTGCAAGTGTGCGAGAAACGCAGCAAAGAATAGCCAAGTAATTCCCAAAAGAAAACCGAGAGGCTTTTATTGAAAACGAAAACGGAGAAAGGGCCTTATATCCTAAGCCCCATCTATATTCTGTCCAGTGTCCGCAGAATATCTGCCCGGTACCTTTCAACCAACCCATCAAACATGCACAGAGACCCCACTCATGATCCCTCGGTTGCGGCCCAAGCGATCCATCTGCCAGAATTGATTACCCCCCAGGTGTGATGATAACACCACACAAAATAAAACTTCCTCGTACCAGTAAGTACGCCCCGCACCTGAAAACCAGCATGCACAAGACACATCTTTTCTCTGGAATGGTGTCGAAACTTCAAGGCAAAAAGAAACCCTTGAGAGACGGCTATGACTGTGCCAACACACATTTTATATTGCCTACCACACGGCATTGCTGTGTCAGGCTTTCCCAGTTTCTTCAAAACCTCGATAATTCAAGTTATTGACTGTTATTCAACATTCATAACTCGATCAATTGCTAACAGACACAGGATACCACAATGGGACCACGCATCTCGTTTGCATTCGTCCCTCACTCAGGCTACGCCAGACGCAATCGCGGGGCAGAAGACCATCTTCGTTCATTCACTTTGCACTCTCAAACATATGGAGAAGTGAGGAACACAGAAAGCTGCGAAGGACTGTGCTCAATACCAGGCAGGCATATCTCTGATCAACTTCCCGAGAAGACCAGTTTGACAAAGCCGACCCAAATCAATCAATCTCATGGACCAAGACGTCCTCACCTGATTCATGCCTCTGTCTTCAATAGAGTTGACGATCTTGGTGACCTCGTGTCCGCCGCGCGACGTACCCAAGATTGTCCCGCCTCGCTTGTGAATGTCATTCACACTCTTCGGATTCAGTGGAATAGTATTTCTTGCATAAAAGCCGCGATATCCGCCCTGCAATGCATGTATAGCAGTCATGCATGCTTTCGGTCAACAAGGTCAATAGATAGTCAAAAAAAAAACATGAAGTAACACAGAAACAGGACACTGTCAGACTATTGCCTCACGCGTCTACCACAAGGATCCCAGGCCATGAACCAACTCACATCCAACTACCTGCCCATACTCTCATAATCGAGGACATCATGTCGCATTAGACCATACAAGCAGCAATGGGCATCAAGCATGATGTCAGACAATTGTGTCTGTTCAACTCTTTTAATCCTTCTTCGACTCCCACATCATCTTCGACTCCCTTAGAGAACAATTTGAGTTTTCCAACTCTTTCAACTGCCCTTTTGCTTTTTTCATTTATGTAAAAGGAGACGGCCCTTAAACCACCATTGCCTTTCCCGCTGTTGGGAAAACAGGAAAATATCCTACTCCGAAAAAAATCGGCGTCCGGGCCCGACGGCGGCTGCAGTTGATAGATAAATCTCATCGGCGTCCATCTTTTCGTTTCGGCCTCCTAAAGATTCGGGGGCCCAACGGCCGCCCACATGGGAAAAGGTAGTATGTTTGTTGGAACTGTGTGGCTGGAGGACTACCATTTTTCTGCTCAGCATCCAGAGCGCATTGTCCAACCCGGATGACCAACAATTGGACATCCTACCCCGACCTCATGTCACCAGGTAGATGACTCAGTGTGTACCAAAAGGCACAGAGGGGCAACCACACAACCTCTCTCATCTTTAGGCAAAGTGCGGTGGCAAAAACGGTTATGGGATGGAAAAGCACACTCAGTAGCACACCTGAGGAAAGCTATGTCTTTCGAAAGTGGTTGCATAGCATTACCCACAGGCACCAGAAACATTTTGAGAGAGCATTTATAAGGCTCCATGCAGGACCGTGACACTTCACATTGGCCGCTGCTTTCTACTCATTGTTCTCCTCCCAGTGCATCACCATCTTCCTACCCTTTCACTTCCCATCTCTCCTCATCCTTGCCCCATTCCTAATCCCCCTCAGTCATACCTCCCTTCTCCACCTAACCCCTTCAAACCCCCTCTTTGCAGCCTCTTACTTCCTGCACCTCCTCATGCCCTCCTCATGTCAGCTCTACTGCGCACTGTCCTGAAACTCCTTCCATCCTACCCCCCACCCCCTCTCTCTCTCTCTCTCTCTCTCTCTCTCTCTCTCTCTCTCTCTCTCTCTCTCTCTCTNCTCTCTCTCTCTCTCTCTCTCTCTCTCTCTCTCTCTCTCTCTCTCTCTCTCTCTCTCTCTCTCTCTCTCTCTCTCTCTCTCTCTCTGTGCTAGACCAATGCCTGGGAAGAAGAGCGCATCAGTATAAATTGAGCAAGAACAAGTGAGTACACTTCGTCGTGACAGAGGCAAAACGAAGATTGTGTAAGAATCTGGCACGACTCCAGTACCGGGACATCATTGCACCACACAAAGATGTCAGCTTCCAAGCGTCGCACTCAGAAAGAGGGCGGCAATGGCAATGGAATTAGCGACATAGAACACGTCGCTAAACGCCTGAAAGGGTGCATGACCCCTGCATCCCTCAAATGAAGGGTGTTTCAACCTCAATGATATTCTGGTCCTCGCTGGCATTGTCCCTGCCAACACTTTTTCCAAGTTTTGGTCACGTACTTCACCACAGCAAAAGTGGGTAGGTCCACAACCCCCTCCTTTGCATTATCTTTATGACCAACATCTGAGCAAAGCTGGAGTCAGGATGTTTACGATTGTCCGAGTGCGCCTTCCAGCTGGTGTATGGTTTGAAATTAAGGGTATGTAACGCTTTGCGGCATAGCAACAACCGAAAAACTTCAGCCCCCGCACCGTCTATTCCGTCGTCTTGTGTTCCTCTTCCTTTGTTCTTGTGCCAGGGATGGCAAGAAGGGGCTGAGGGGGCTGTCACCAGGGGGATGAAATTATTAAAAGGACGGATTGCATCGTCCTATGGATGTGTGTGTTCCTCTTTCGTTGTTCTTGTGCCAGGGTTGGCAAGAAGGGGCTAAGGGAGCTGTCACCAGGGGATGAAATGAACAAAAGGACGAATTGCATCATCCTATGGATGAGCATCGTCCCAGTTGCTTACCTTGCAGGTGGAAAGTCAATTACACGAACCCTGACATTGCTGACAACAATTCTGCTGTCGAATCCCGTCTGTAAGGTTGCAGGTGCAGAGCCTTCCAGGTTCTTAGTGCTCCGCTTCAATATCATTCATGCCATGCGTCAACTGACTCCACTGCTGACTTCAAGATCAAAAGTGGTCACATAAGTGGGCAGGCAACAAATCCTGTGCTTGGCATTTCTTTCCTGGGTTACATGGACTCCTAATAAGTCTCCTATCAATGAAGAGGACGAACCTCTCGACCCCACTTACGAAAGGGTGTCCACCAGGATGACAAAGCCATGTGTGACTTCTTCATGGTTCTTAAGCGCACTCAAGCTTTCTCAGGTCATCGAGAGACCAGAACCCAGCATTTCCCGCAACAGTAGCAAACCAAGCAGCGAAGTCGTGTGCCAGGTTCATACCATGTCAGAGAGTTCATAAACTTCAGTATGAACTACGGTTAAGGCCTCTGTCATACCATGTCAAAGAGTTCATCAAGCAGCAAAAGAATAAAGAGTTCATCAAGCAGCGAAAGAAAGAGGACAGTTCATCAAGCAGCGAAAGAATGAGAACTAACCTCGATACCTAGGATGTTTCGAACACAGTACTGTGTCCAGAGAACACATACAAGCTCGCGAATGACCGTATTCAGGCCAGGGCAAAGTCCACCACAGGTCACAATCCCTGCCACCACTTCTTCTGGCTTGAAAGCAATCTGCAAAACAGAGATATGGGGAAGCCAGACACTTAAAAGTTAAGCTCGGCCATAACAAAAGATCAACACTCTCTATGGAAAGTAATCTTAGCGCTTGAGGGGGAAATATAAAAAAGAAAAAGGGAGGGGGGTGGAAGACACCATGCCAGCTGAGTTAACTTTGGGACTTCGGTAGTTACTAGTCAGCCGCATATTTTCACACTGACCAACAATCATCACCGAAAGTCTGTCAAACACGAAAAGGGGCGGAAAAGAACAGACGGATATGCCAGAATGGCATGGCTTTCTAAGTTTATTGTTCTCCATGGACTAGAATCATTACAGTCCTTTAAAAATAAAAAAAATAAAAAAAGAATCCACATCTCCAACAAGGGCTTGTCTCTCCTCCTCACTATCCACCCAGCTTCTCCTGCCACAGGCCAAGGCTTTGACAGCGCAAGATCACTTGCGCGGTATATGCTCGTTTGCTGGCCAACTAGGTCGGTAATCACACAATAGTGCCCGTTCTGGCAAACAAGGCCAGAGGGTGAATTCTGCATGAAAAAGCGTTCCCTTTTGCCTCTCTTTGAATTTCCTCTTCGCTGTTTGTTTGGTTGGTTGGTCACAGTTCGGTGTCCACTTTTATGGATTGATGGAACGTTCGACCTAAAATTCTAAAAGATTTTGGGGGTTTTGATTAGAGTCTTCGACCCTTACGAGTTCATGACAGACATCCATGAGAAATCGAGAAGTCTGCATGTCATGACTCGTCTTTCCTCTCTTACAGTCAGCTGATGACTTCCTGCTTGTCACATTGGCGTCAAACAGACTAAAAAATTTAAGAGTATCCGTCAGAGCTGGTATGGACAGAGGGCATATACACTTTTGTAACCGAACACCGTAGGGGCATTTTCATCTATTCTTGTAAACCGAAAACAGCAGGGGCATATCCGTTGATGTAAACCGAAAACCGCAGGGGCATATACGTTATTGTACATCGAAAATGGAAGGGGCATATTTCCCATTACCATAACCCAAAAATAGCAGCAGGTTTCCCCGTTTTTGTATNAAAATGGAAGGGGCATATTTCCCATTACCATAACCCAAAAATAGCAGCAGGTTTCCCCGTTTTTGTATCTGTGACTTGGTTTTGCCACTATCCGCATTCTCCCCAATGCCAACTCTGCTGGCCAATTGCTCTCTCTCTCTCTCTCTCTCTCTCTCTCTCTCTCTCTCTCTCTCTCTCTCTCTCTCCCCCCCCACCCCCCCCCCCCCCCCCCCCACCCACCCTGCCACCATTCCCCCGATCCTTCGTCAACCGCAGGACGACTTCCATGACAGGTCAACTTCACCATGCACAGTATCATGGCTACAAAGACAAGGATGGGGGACCAATCAGCAAGTGGAACAAGCTACGGAAGGATAACACTGCAGGTAGACGGACCTCGAAAGAACCGAAACATATCGGAACACGAACAATTATTATACGACAAAAGATGTTCTCTGCTAATGCTCACCTGAATCTGTAAACACCTTCATTATGTGATGCTGGACCCGGTTTCCAGCAGGTGTTGCTCCCCACCAACAGACCGGAGCAAGCAGTGACCAACCCAAAAAACAAAAACAGAAAAAAAAAAAAACAACAACAACAAGATGTTCGATGATCTGGCACCTGCCTAGTGGGGTACACATCTTCAAAACTTCATCTGCTAGAGGCTCAAGAGTTAAGAATCTTCAGATGCAACGACAGCGGAAGTGCCGATGTCCCCTTCCGACTCTACCTTGTCCGAATTGAGGAAGAAGAACCAAGTAAATGAATTCCGCATCAGACGGAGGATTGCAAAGCCAACAACACATGTAGAGAACTGAGTAGTGTACCAAATATCCTTCTTAGGTTAATGTCAACCTGAAGTATTACAAAATACCATCATCATTATGGTCAATAGTCCACTTAATGAAGGAATCTTGTGCACTGACCTTAAACTTAAATATCGCACTATGTTCAAACCTAGGAAGAACAAAAAGCGTCCACTGAGAGAATCATGAAAGCATACGTACCCTCTCTCTAGGACCGGCCCTCCTGAAATACGTGGCCTGATGTTGACGTGAGATTCGCACCACCACCTGCGCATACGCAACCGGCATGACATTCGACACCATGGCTCAGGACAAAAATTGCTCTCTGACTCCCAACATCCACACACCACCCCAAAACGGCAATGCCAGAGTCATGGCACAAAATGCAACGGCAATACCGCCGGCCGCGCTCAGGGGCCTCGTACCACATAAACCATGCAAACCCAAGAATAGCCACCACATAGCACCCACTGCCAATACACAGGAAACATAAGCGGTTAACAGGGAAACCTACTTTTCAGCCCTGGTTAACCCCTTCAACCCTGAAAAGTGCATTGGAGATCATTTTTTTTTAGGCCTCCATTAACCGTCTCTCACAGGAATGATACAAGTCCAAGGTAGTCCCAGCAACTACTGGTCTTCTCCTGGCGGCACCCACTGGTCCCTCTCCAGGCATGCAACGAAGGTGGTCCAAAATCCCAAAAGAAAAAGACAAATGCCATTCTGGGCATGGACATCATGTCACGAGCTCAACGTCTGCTGCAGAAGAAGGTCAGATCTGACAAGATACAGACAGGTTTTGACAGACTATGACAGTCTGACCTGACTCCACGGACACCTAATGCAACACCAAAGGCATCGTCTCCCAGAGCACACACCACAAGCTCTCTCCTTCCTCTGTACCCTGCAAACACCAGTGGCAGCTCAAGGACAGACTACGCCTTACAATAACTGCAAGCCTAACAATAGCTGCAAGCCTAACAATAGCTCAATAGCTGCAAGCCTAACAATAGCTCAATAGCTGCAAGCCTAACAATAGCTGCAAGCCTAACAATAGCTGCGAACCTAAAAATAGCTGCAGACTAAGCCCAACAATAGCTGCAAGCCTAACAATAGCTGTAGCTATCGTTAGGCTGCCGACTATGAAAACTACACAGGAGCAGCCTCAGAGAATTACATGAGTGCAGCTGATTGGAACCACACCCATGGTAGGAAAACTATCTCAGCATCAATCAGTACTACGGGCCCTCCATCGCCCCCTGGGTCGCATAGTGCCTTTTAAGATAATACCCACAAGAAGTGAGCCACCAACACGTACAGTAGTACGCCGTATCGTGCATTTATTCATAATCTGCTGCACAGATGCTAGAAGATAAGTCGTTCACAAAAACATCAATTACCCCTTCGGCCATTTAACTTCACCGTTCCCGGTCACAATTTCAGCATTTTCTGAGCCGAAATCATCAGGGCTTACCAAGTTCCTGTCAGTAGGACTTGACGATTTCCACTCACAAAATGCTGAAATTGCGGCCAGGAACATCAAAGGTAGCCATAGCCTCCTCCACTGTTGCAAACCCAAAGGTAGTCATTGCCTTCTCCACTGTCAGCTTAAACAGAAGCTGGCCAATCTCCCTCTCTCTCTCTCTCTCTCTCTCTCTCTCTCTCTCTCTCTCTCTCTCTCTCTCTCTCTCTCTCTCTCTCTCTCTCTCTCT